TATAATGCAACACACCTTTATAGTTACGTATAGAAATAAATATTTTCAGTATTTTTCCAAAATCGAGTGCATTACAGAAGTCTATCATTTAGCGCATGTGCAAATGAGCCGACAGTAGGGGTCGAGCTACCGGGAAGGATCGGGCAGCCACACGCACACAAGTCTACYGTGTGGGAACACTTTTCAATGGAAAACAATGATGCTGAAACTGCGTCTTTCAAAATCTGCAAACTGGATGTTTCTCGTGATGGGAACAGCAGGGCTCGCTTTAAAACCTTGTCACTTGGAAAGAAATAAAGAAATAAAGCTATCGGATCGACAGAAAGACTAATAGTTAAAAAAATCGGATTGTATCGGGAGCCAAAAAAATCTAGATCGGGACATCACTATGAACAGCAACTGTGCAAAGTTTTATTTCATTTTGATTAAAGATGGGTATTTTAAGCAAAAACAYGCTGAATGTTTTGATAATTATTATTTTTTTCTTTGAATCTCATCATTTTAAAGTTAAAGTCAAGGGCAAAAACAGAAACTGTGATGCTCCAAGTATTATTTTTGTTTTGCGTTTCATTGTCAAGTGGTGTGAAAATCAAAACAACAAAGATATGTCACAGTTGCATTAACCCTAACTTCTTTATTTCTGCTCTTTGCTCTGTTTCACTCGTCCTCCAGGTGAGACAAAGACCACGGTGTCTCCCTACGTCTCAGGTGGAGTCAGTGATGGCCAGTGGCACTCGGTCCACCTCCATTACTACAACAAGGTAAGGAATGTAATCCACCAAAACCCCCCTCCACTCCTGCTCCTCTTCTTCACCCTTCAGCACGAGTCAGTTTATTCTAACAGTTTCCTCACAGCGCACTAACTTGTGATAAAGAAATAATAAAGTTACTTTTTTAATATGCCATTTGGTTTATATAATTGAAGGATCTTGTAATTTTCCAGCGTTGACGGGTCAGTGAGTCGTTCTGTGGGAGTCAAATGTGTAAAATGTGTTTCTCTTTGAAAGYGGCTGACCTTGACTGCTGAGATGGGAGATTGTCTCAACGGTTCAGGTTTGATTTGGGCCATTTCTGCCCCGGTCTCCCACACGAAATGTCAACACAMCTTCCAACACGAGGCCAAACTTTCATACATCAGTTCAGAGCTGATGGATCGTGGTTCTGTACGGGGCATCTTAATAGTTTCTGTGTCTAAACTATGTTTTCAGCATGTTCCCACGGGGATTTCCTTCCTTCTTAATCAGAAAAGAAACTATAAATATTCCTCGTATATCCACAGCTCTAATATTCTTATTTAATGAAGGTGTAGATGGTTTTATGTTACAACAWACCTCCACAGCCTGCAGTCTTTGAGCTTATATCATTGAACCAGACAGGAAATTAGATGTAAATGTCCCTCTGAGGAYAAGTTTATGTTCAATAAATGCTTAATTTAGTGTCACATTATAGAGAGTATATTCAGTTCAAACACAACATTTTAGCTACATTTCTCAGCCTGGTTTGCAGAYATGTATGCATGTGCTTTGTCTGTATTTCTTTTCATTCTTTGTCTTTTCTTCCTTTTTTTAAATCTTYCATCGTGTGCAGCTCTAAAAGCTGCACCACCGGCCTGACCGCAGCTTGAACCTCGTTAAAGGCTGCACTCGTGTTCCTGGTCCCAACACCTGTCCACAATGGACACTTTCTCATATTTCACATGTTGTTCGCCTCTTTCTCRTGTTTTTTCAGCTACACAGCCCATAGCATGCTCACTTTCTTTTGACAGGTGGGTATTCATCAGGGGTGATGAATCGGGCCACCGTGTTTTATCATGTTCGCTGCAGGGTCACTTCTGTGTGCGTTGTTTGAGGTGCGTCAGGATAGTAAAAAAACACACTGGTGCTACGACTAGTCTTCTGGTGTAAAAGCTCGTTTTGTTGGCCTGTTAAGAGTTTGTAAGAATATCACCCTGGAAACGAGATTAATCGCTTCATCTTAGAGATTTTCTGTTTCGTTTCTGTTTTTTTTTAAAACGTGTGTGTGGTTTTCTTCTATTTATTGACTTTGCTGATCCTCTTCTGCTGCTCTGGCATGCAAACACAAGTTCACAAACGTGCGTTGCGCCAGCATTGTGAGCGTATTTGGTGTTATTAGCTGGGTGCGTTCCACCAGGTCGGTCTTAAAATGGACCAGTGATTTGTAGACCTGGTGCCAAATTCCGTTAAATCAGCCCGAGGCCGGCTGTAGCTCTGACACGGGGTCAGTTTCCTCCTCTGTGACGAAGGATCAGAAGTCATAATTGACTTGTCCTGCATCAGTAGCTGGGGGGATTAGTGTAACTGTATCTGGCAGAAGGCAGGAATCTTCTCACAATAGATCAGGTGTGCTGACATGTCAATGAATGTCATATATGTTTGTCATCCATGTAATGGGACTCGTAGAGTCACTCACAGGAATTTGTCTGGAGGCAGCAGAGCTTCTGTGGCCCAGAAAGATCAATAGATCAGAGCAGAATCTGCTGCTGTGAGGCTATTCAGATTCACGAAATGCAAAAAACAAGACTTTAATATTAAGAATGATTMAGGGTGTAAATCACCAGATTTATCATGATACGATATTATATCGATTTATTTGGATGACGATATGATATTTTCCCAATATCACAAAATCTGTCAGGATACATTTTCAATTCAATTCACAAGTCTGCGATTGATATGATGCGATATTATATGACCATCTAACAAATGATTGTGTTAGATGAATATACTGCATGATGATGATGATATGGACGATTTTCATTTTATTTTTTCATTTTGCCTCAGTTTAATTGAATCATTAATCATTTAATTGATATATCGATGTGGCTTGATGCATCACATCCCTATTTAATATTAAGTAGCACCTATATAAAGTTTAATATTCCCATTTAGCCCAAGAAGTTTGGCTCATAAAACTTCATTTATACATCAAAAACAAACAGCTGAAAATACGAAAGACACACAATCCATATCTGTAAATCATATAAAAAAATACAAACCAGAACTGAAACACAGCTTGTAAATATTAATTAGCAGTTTGCAGGACTGAAAACTATTTTTACCCACTTTTCAGTTGCAGTACAATGATTAAAACATCCTGTCATAAGAAAATCTGATTAAAGTCTGTTTACAAATACACTAAAAGTAGAATTTCTTAAAAGAAAACAAAAAAATTTTTTTTCATGTGAATGAGAAGTACAAACGCAGCAAAAATGCTAGTAAAATACTTGTTTGACAGACCTAAAAATAAATGAAGTGCAGTTTTGTTTTCTTGATAGCTGTTGTGGAATACTTATTTTCTGTATCACCTTGACACTGACCACTTGTTCCTGTTCCTGAAGATATGAACACTTGTTCATATCTTGTGATATCCTTCCGGACGTCAGCA